CAGTCCGGTCCAGACCGGTTCAGACCGGCTGGACCAGTTCAGTCAGTTATTTTCAGTTTCAGTCCCGGTTTTCAGTTTCAGTGATAATTTCAGTTAAAATTCCGGGTTAGGTTCAGTCCAGATAATTATTATCAGTTCAGTTCCGTACTTAGCCGATTTCAGTTATATCGATTAAGTCCGAATATCATGCTAGATTAGAGATAGCATCTTAACCTAATTAATCAGTTAAATTTATCAGTCTGAGCATAGCCAATAGTAATTGTTTATATTATTTTCAGTTTGATCAGGCATCAGCACTTTCCATCAGTTCAGTTTTTCAGCAAAATCAGGTGGGGACTCAGACTAAGTATTTACATGGTTTATAATCACGTTACCATGGTCGAGGTATGTATATTCAGGTCCGCTCGGAATGGTCGCCGGTCCATTCTGGGTTCTAGTGGCCCTAGTCTGCCCACTAGAGTGTGCACATGGCATCCGGCTTTGCCGGCAGATGTTCAGTTTTAGTTCAGTCGTTACATATGTCGCGAGATTCAGTTATCAGTTACGTGACTTCGGTCGCGAGATTCAGACCGGTGTATCAGTTTATCAGTTATCAGTTTCAGTTCAGTTCAGTTATATATACTCAGTTCATGATCATGTTATTATTTACGATGTAATACATTAGCATGAGTTTCTGCGGAGCACAGTGCCTTAGTGCTCACGCCCCACATTTTCTTGATTTTTCAGGTCGCAGGGTCGGGGACGAGGAGTGAGCGGGCGAGCTGTTCAGGATATTTTTATGTGGGTTGTACTTGATGTTGAACATTAAAACTTTTCAGAGCTTTTATCAGACTTACATGTTATTTTGCCACGCTAAGACTTCCGCTAAAATTTCAGACTTTGTTCCGACATTAGTCGGATAATAAATTATAACCGTTTCACGTTTCAGTTTTAAATTCTAACGGTTTTCAGAAGTCATGTTTTTCACGGTAACCCCCGAATCAGTTTCGCAAATTAAAAAGTTAGTTTGTTTATTTATTTAGAATATTTGCGAAAATCCGCGTACTCTGGTATATCAGTCAGCGGGGTGTTACAGACATAGGCCCACACAAATCAGAGTGAATCAATTCTAACACATCATTGGACCTATTCCCCTTGGCCTTAAAGGTCCTAGAAGTCATCTTGCCTTCCAAACAGGATTCACAGACTGTAAATGGTTCAACTTGGAGAGAATCCAAGAAGCCATTACCTACCAGCCTTTGGATCCTCCTTAGATTGACATGACGCAATCTTAGGTGCCAAAGATATGTCTGATTCGACTGAGAAGGTTCCTTTCTCTTGTTTAGTGATGAAGATGCATGAGCCTCACTCACAGTATGATATGCACAAATAATAGTATAAAGATTGTTAACCAACATGCCAGAACAGATAAAAGAGTTATTTCTCATAATAACAACATTGTCATTAAAAATAACTGAATATCCATCCAAAAACAGCTTCGAAACTGAAATTAAATTCTTCTGAAAACTCGGCACGTACAAAACGTTCTTTAATACTAAAATAGAATCAGAAAAAGACAAGTGCACATCTCCCACTGCAACCACCGCCACTCGTGCAGCGTTGCCCAAGCTGATGGTAATCTCGCCCTCACTGTGCTGCCTTCTTTGCAGAAACCCCTGCAAAGTATAACAAACATGATCAGTGGATCCTGTATCTACTACCCAAGAACTGGTAGAACAAGCCGCAAAGCATGTTTCGACAACTAAAGCAAGAGACGTACTAGGAGCGTCCTTGAGGAGACAATCTGACTTCCAATGTCCTGTCTTGTTGCACTTGAAGCACTTGCCTTTCGGCTTCACCACGCCACCAGAAGGCGCTACTGCTTTGCTCCCACCACTCCCACTGCTCCCACTGGTTCCACCACTCTTTTTCTGCACTTGCTTTTTCTTCTTCCCGCCTTTCGACGAAGAAGGTCCAGCTTGTACAGAAACATGAGCTTGTGGTCCCCTTCCCATAAGACCCTCCACTGCAACCAAGTCCGTAAGAAGCTCGGATAGAGTATAGCCCTTCTTATTAATGATTGTATTCAGGCGAAAGTTCTCATAGGACTTCGGGAGTGAGTGCAGGATGATATCGATCTTGGCTTTGCCATCGATATTTCCTCTGAGCACATCTATCTCATTCAGATATTCCATCATCTTGAGAACATGCTCTCGCACAGAAGCTCCCTCTGGCATGACAGAAGACATAATCTTCTTCATAGCCTCAAACCGAGCAGCCCTATCTTGCTCACCAAAGAGTTCCTTGAGGCCCAACATCATGTCAGCAGCAGTAGGCATGGTGTGATGCTGCTGTTGCAAAACATTTGACATAGATGCCAAGATGTAGCAATGAGCCATCTCATCAGCCTTATGCCACTTCCGATGAGCCTCCCTTTCTTCTTCAGTGGATTGGGCACTCAAAGGAGCAGGAGCAGGAGTAGTGAGCACAAACTTGTACCCATCAGCAACAAGGACAATATCCAGATTTCTCTTCCAGTCCAAATAATTTGGACCAGTAAGCTTGTTTTGATTGAGAATGACCATAAGCGGATTAAATGACATGATGAATAACTGAAATAAATAATTGCAAACACGTAAGCAACAATTCACATAAATATGAAGCATAAAATATGGAAACCTTCAAAAAACCATTATTTAATGCAACCTTCGACAACTTAACGAACACACATGCAAGCCACGTTGGGTGGACGTTTACACATATTTCAATTAAGCAGACACCCACTCATTAATCTCAATTGCACGCCAATCTGTCCTTATGGCGAATGAAATTAATAGTCGAAATATTAATGCTGGCCATGTGAATTAAAACAGGGACTCCGTTGGGGAGTTATATTAAAATTCACATCTAAGTGATGACCACAATTTAACCCCAAGAACAATCATCCACAATTGACGAACCTACCGAAGGGGAAGACACATTGCTTGTAAATAATTTTCTACGGTTATCTCAAAATAATCTTTACCGATGAGCTTATGAATGATACTATCCGTTAGGGAGGAGACCCCATGGGTCACACGTATGCCACTCACTTCACCTAAAGGTTAAGTCGTTTGAATAGAAGTCTTATCTAGTAAGCTCGTGAATGCCGCATCCGTTAGGGGGAGACTCCCAGGGTCCCGCGAGCGACAGACACCTTACTTAAAGACCAATTGTGGAGGCCAAATGAATTAATTAAAATTCTTAAACTCACTTAGTCATTTTTACTTGAAGGTTTTTAACAGCATGCAATAAGAAATAATACAATTCCTATCGTGCTCCTAACACGCAAATCACATAAATCCTAGCATGCTCCTAAAATTCAAAACAAAAGCAATGGCAACTCTCTAAAAATTTATAGCACCTATTCACATGATTTCTAGCATGCCAGAAAATCGATTTAAATCAGCTAGACACATAATCAAATAAACATGTTCTAGCAAAAATTAAATCGGCATCCACAAAGCGATAAAATTGCGAAAATTAAGACACATCTATCGCAGCCCCTTAAAACTAACCACTAACAGCCTATCAAAGCGATTACATGATTCAGCAAGGTCGTGGATGAACACTCGAATCGGCATCTCACGTAAATCGGGCCATTCACGCAATATCCGCACCCACCGACGGAAAAGGGCCGAAAACTTCATCTAGACGATTGAATTTTACCCCGCCATAGGCCGTCCCAGCAAAGCAGTGACATTTGTAGATCTCGCTCTCCCGTTTCTGAAATGGTATTATGGGCTAAAATCGGACACCTGTAGCAAAAGTTATGGCCAAAACGGTTTTTGCCGACAAAACCGACCCCGGTGAATGCTGAAACCCTAGCCGCCGCCTCCAGATTGATCATCTTCATCACGTTCGACTTTGAACACAAAAATACAGCAAAAAATAGAACAACAACAGCCCTACTACAGTCTACAAAATCGCTTATACTACCCACACTTATTATCTGGTGGGAAAAACGATTACAACAAACAACAAGGGCTGCGATAGACACCATCCAGAAGCATAAACGAGATAAAAATTCATCCATACCATGAACATGACTGAAAACGAATAAACGAATAAACAAAATCAACTACATGTTCCAGGCAGAGCCGACAATCTACGAAACCGAGGCTTTGATACCAATTGCTGGAACACGCCGACGAGGCGGTCCTACCCATGGATCGATATCGGATACCCAACATGTACATACATGATTTCGAATAAACCTAAGCATGCTCCTAAAGGACGTACAGAGATATACCTTTCTTCAAGGCTTCGATTCGATCTGAGCGATCTTCTAGTCTGTGTCCCGACCACGTTTGGACGCCGGAAGGACGACGATCCTCCAAACGGTTGAAAGCGGATTGCCTTTTTTTCTTCTCTAAACCCCTCACGTTTCCTTCTTCCTTCTCCCACGTTGGTATGGTGGCTGAAGACGTGAACTGATCTCTTAGGGTTCAAGAACGTGTGCTTATCCTTCCTTTTATAGAGTCCTTGGGCCAGACTAGGGATCTCTTAGAAGGTATTGGGTTTGGGCTCCCTACATGCCTAAATTCTTATGTTCAGCCCAGAACACAATTTGGCCTGTAAATATTAATTCATTCCAATAGAGAATTAATATTGCACTCTCGTCCTATCCCGAAATGAATCAGGGCTTCTATTAGACTCAATATAATGCCCCGTGTTTAAGATATCGCACGTCCATTAATTATTAAAGCTTCTGACTGCTTTAATTAATTAATATCTTTTATTCCTTAAGTAGTACCACTCAACCTTATTATCGTACGGATTAAATCCACCTGCAGGGTTTATACGATAATCCTTATGAGTTCCTTAAGAGGGCCGTCATCAACCTGGATGTCCAGGACACGGTTCCCTAATGCTAATAAATAGATATCATGCAGATAATGTTGTTACCCAAGATACGAAGCATATTGAACCAATACTTGGTTCTCACCCATGGTAAATCAAAGTAACATACAAACATCCCACATATCTAAGTATCACAGTTAGGGTTAAGAATTAGTAGAGTCACCGAGACCTAGGTTATTCATGATAGTCAGAATAGAAGAACACGTCTCAACTGTGATCCATTCAATGCGACGCAGCGCACTAGTATAAACCAATAGCCAAGACAAGCTACATCCAGTTTATAGTACAACCTACACCGATAGTCATGTCCATAACTATCTCAGTTGTGAATACCATTTATATCTTATAAGGGACCGACAATGTAATCTTCTGTGTGACTACTAACACACCACATCGTCTACAATATAAGATAATTGGACATTTAGCATTCAATCAATCATAAAGTTTGATTTACTGTATACCCCAACAATCTCCCACTTATACTAAAGCTAAACTTTAAGTATATATAAACACATGCCATAACAGTTTCGTCCTCGACCGGCACAACCTACCTCCTGAAAACACAAACACGGAGAAAACACAGAGCAAAACAAGACAAAAAGACGCACAAAACGAAACTAAAGAGAAAAACACAAAAACACAATATTGGACCAAATAAACCACGAAAATCTTATACGTGGGGAAAAATAAAGAGAAAATAACCCAAAATAAAGACACAAAAATAGGACAAACAATTCCCCCACACTAAAACATTTGTTCGTCACGAACAAAAAGAAAAGAAAAGAAAACAAATAAACGAGCAAAGACAACGGTTCAAGCAAGACCAATCTCAAACATATCAATCGAACTGAGAAGAATTCCAATGATCACAAGAACACACCTCAACTATCAACTCAGCTATTTCGAAGAACACAAACTCTAAAGTACAAGTATGTATATGCCTCACTCAGTTTCTTCGCAATATATAAGAAAGGTGCACTCGAATTGGTTGTCAGTCAAGTCAATCATAGATTTGCTATCGTCTAACTTCTACTCTAAAACAATCAAATTCATAAAACAGTGAATCAAGAGGTCTTAAAGGGTTGTAACGTAGGCTCTTTGGACCGGGTAGGAAAAATATAGGCTAAGTGGCTCAAAATATATCAACTCAACTCATTCACCCAACCGTGTCAACAAACTCATCCAGTTGTCACCAACCGGCTCCTCCCACTAACTCCAAGACCAACATACTTCCCAAGCATTTTTTTTTCTTTTTTTTTTCTGTTTTTATTGCGAAAACTATTTGGACATCTTATCTAGGTTTAACCTTCGAGTTTTCTACTCGAGTCTCCTAGACCGGTTTCCCGTACTCATGGCTCGTATCCACTAAGGTAGTGGACGGAGCGCTAGGAGTATAATCCATTTGGCTTCCTTTTTTTTTCTTTCTCTTTCTCTTTTCTTTTTTATTTTTTATTTTTTTTTGCTTTTTTTAAAACAAATGAACATATACAATGCAATCATCAATCACCTCCGATACTATCCCGCAACTCAATATCATCATCACGAGGTTAATCAACAAAATCAGTTAAGGCTCAAAGGGGGTGACTAGTGACTGTTATTCTCGAAAAGAAGAAGGAAAAGATAATACAAGGAATGCCTCAATCATATTCACGTTTCACAAATCTAATTGAGTTATTTCAAAGCAGCCTCAAGGCAAATTCTACTTGACAAGTTTCCGACCAATATCACCCAAGAAACAAAATTGGCTCAAACCTCACAAGGTAAATATGTTCCTCAAAACAACCAAGCCAATAAATCAATGTATGTCACTCGATCACATCATCACAACTTCTCAATTCAACCAACAGACTATCAACCAGTCTTACAATACACCATAATCCAAACTCAGAAAAACACAGAAACCTAAAACTAGACTGGTCCACCACGCAAAAGAAAGAAATAAAACGACTTAAAAATAAAAACTAGACCTGGTCAACCACATAGCCACATAAAATGCAAAAGCTACCTAAAAATAAAAACTAGACCTGGTCAACCACATAGCCACATAAAATGCAAAAGCTCCCCCACACTTAAAATCAGACAATGTCCCCATTGTCGACTCTCAG